AAAACAACTCCAGGCATGTTTTTAATGAGGGAACAACATTATAACATAGTAGAACGCTTCAAAAAGTCGATTTCGCCTAATGGCAAAGGAGAAATTCATTTTGTCAACTGGACAAAAGTTTATTTGGTTGAATACATTTCGCAGCTCATCCAAGCTGCTTCTTCAGTTTTGGTCAGACGCTGGTGGACACTTCCTTATATCTGTCTTCCGGGTAGGACCTAACTACAATGAAACTACTCTGAAACTAACACACATACTTGTTTACAGTTTCTGTTAGTTAGACCTATTGAACTTGCACGGAGTTTGAGAGTTTGACCAGAACTGAAGGAGCAGCTTGGATGAGCTGCAAAAAGTATTCGACCAAATAAACTTTTGTCCAGTTGACAAATTGAACCTTTCCTTTGCCATGGATTCTACCTGGACGACTAAGGGATTTTTCACAGATTTTGCATAACATTTCCTCTTAAACTTGAATAATTTCAATTCAATAAAATTGTAACAGATTTCTTTTAGAAGCAAATTATAAGTTCCATTCATGAACATTAAAAAATTGAAATAGTTAACACAATTATTGTATTTTCCAAGCTCTTAAGCCACCAACCCCATCAAAAAACGACAACGCGCCCCACAATCCAGAGCGTCCTATACACGAATCTACTTGTGTCCCAGCACGACTTCAGTAAACTACAAAGCTGCACCACCTGCAGCGCACACAAACACACACGGAGCAGACAGCGACTGAAACACACCCGCAGACGCACTCATCACTCCACGCCGACCAGGAACGGAACGGAGGAACGAACCGAAAAAGCGAGAGCAACGTGCCACTTCTAGACACAACTGAACAACTGAGTCACTGCGAACACGTCGACAATCCGTTGGTCCCAGACAGCACCTCCCTACACGCCACAACTGAACAAAGCCCAGAGTCACCGTGAACGCAAAAAACAAAGTCCGACTGACCCATCCAACTGTTGTGTTTCGTTTAAAGTCGGTTTATTTGTGAAAAAAGTTTGAAAATAGACCATTTAATGACAGTGCGCCTTATAATCCAGAGCACCTAAATGCCCAGAAAATACGGTAATAATAAATCATCCGTATAGTGCTTTTTCAACTAAATAACCTAAAATAATCCCTAAATCTAGAATGACTTCCATAAGGTAACTTTTCCATTCATTTGTAAGGAAACACTACATTCCCAGTGAAATAATAAAGAGTGGGTAAGACTGTTTTTAGTGGCAGGATAACTATGGCCATTGACACCAGCGACCTCTGCAAATACAAGGACTGGATGGAATATTTAAAAAAAGAGTCTTCACACGTCTCCAACACTCTGGCTCACGAGGAAATGAGGTCTTAAGTCCAAAATTCCTGACTGTCCCTTTAATGATTTAGATAAAATTGTAAGTTCTATTCATGAACAGTAAAAAAGTGAAATATTTAAGGCAATTACCGTAAAAATAAATCATCTGGAAACTGCTTTTTTAATGAATTAACCCATAATAATTCCTAAATCTACACTGACATACTCCCATAAGGTTACTTTTCCATTCATTTGTAAGGAAACACTATATTCCCAGTCTGTGTGTCTGTCTCCTTTAGTTGTATCGGTGCTAATGAATAAGCCATGGACCTCCCTCTCCTTTCTCTCCTCTCTCTTTTTTCATATTTGATGGTGTTGTTCAAAGACTGGTCCAAACTCTCCCTCTCTCTCTCTCTTTCCTGGGAGATGGTTGGGCTCTCCTGTCCCACCGCTGTCAGCCTCTGATCTCAGTCCTCCTAAAAAGCCCCATGAAGATACTGCTACACCCGCTGTCTCAGGCACAATATAGAAAGGTGATTTGAATGTGGGGAGTTTAAAAAAAATAAATAATTCAACGAGGGAGTCCATATTGATTGTTTGTTGATAGTTACTGTATTATTTGTAGGGCTGTAGTCGACTAAAGTAATCCTTGGATGACTAATAATATAAAGACGTCCTGAAGATCAATTGGTTGACTAAAAATGGGCGTGGCAAAAGTTTTCCAAAGTATTACATATCTATCTCTGTGTATCTGACCGAAACTGTAATCATAAAAGTACACTTACACCTGAGTTCATGGAAAAACAACTCTTTACCGTATTTTCCGCACTATTAGGCGCTCTGGATTATAAGACGCACTGTCATTAAATGGTCTATTTTCAAACTTTTTTCACAAATAAACCGCACTTTAAATGAAACAACAGTTGGATGGGTCAGTCGGACTTTGTTTGGTGCGTTCACGGTGACTCTGGGCTTTGTTCAGTTGTGGCGTGTAGGGAGGGTGCTGTCTGGGACCGCTGGATTGTCGGCGTGTTCGCGGTGACTCAGTTGTTCAGTTGTGTCTAGAAGTGGCACATTGCACTCGCTTTTTCGGTTCGTTCCTCCGTTCCGTTCCTCGTCGGCGTGGAGTGATGAGTGTGTCTGCGGGTGTTTTTCGCTGCGCGGTCGCTGTCTGCTCCGTGCGTGTTTGTGTGCGTTGTGGGTGGTGCGGCTTTGTAGTTTAAAAAAGTATTTCAAAAAAGTACCACAAAACAATGTGCAAATCCAAATCTTCAGCTGACTCACTCGTTCAATTAAACTCCTCACTTACAAGATGTATTTATCAGAAGTTCTAATGCATTTTCCTTTTTTTTTTCCTAATTCAGAAATATCCAGGTTAGTCCCTGTAGAGAAATTTGCTCTTGTGCATTTGACCCATTCTTCAAATCGGCTGAGGATCTGTCAGGAGCAGCGCCCGGGGACCAGATCTAGAGTTTAGTTTGGCTTAGTCAGGACTACTGTAATTTTCAGACTACAAGTCACACTTTTTTTCATGGTTTGGGTGGTCCTGTGACTCCGGTGCAACTTATATATTAAAAATTTCATACTGACAGGCGCAAGAGGCTCTAGTCTTGTGTGTCAGTATCTGCTGCTCCTATTACTCCTGTACCACTGTCACTTGGCTCTACTGCGCATGTCTCCTGCAGAAAGAGCCACTCTCCTGCTGCAAGTAGTGAAATATGCAGCTGAAGACGGTAATCGAGCAGCAGAAAGAAAGTTTGGAGTGAGCGAGAAACCAAAACCATCCTGTCGGGATTCAGAAAGGCCGGAATAATTCTAACTGGAAATGATGCTGAGTCTGACGACAGCGACACAGAAGAGGAAGCGATGCTCTGTTTACCTCCGAGTCGCTCAGAAGTGACACCGAGAGTTTAAACTTGTTCTGTTCTGTTGTTTATGCTATAGTTTATCTGAAGAACTGTTCATATGTGAGATTAACAGTCTGTTGTTCTCTGTTCTATTGTTATTACTAGAACTTGACTTTCAAGATGAAATGTCGGTTCTTGGTTTGTGATTTTATAAAATAAATTTCCCCCCAACAGTGAGATTTATATATTATATTTTTTTCTTCTTCATTACGCATTTTTTGGCTGGTGCATCTTCGAAAAATACTGAAGACTATATCAAATCAATAAAACTTCTTGGGTCGCCTGATTGTAAGTCCTCTATATTTAGGCTGTTGGGGACATGATCTGACCCAGAGTTCTGTATTAGAATTGTATTGGACAGGGAATACATTTTTGTGAGTTTCATCGATCGATTCCAGTCGTCATTTTTGATGGAACACGTCTAACAACACGGGACCTGAAATAATTGACTTGTTGACCTGCATGTTTTGAGTTGAGGAGGAAAACCCACTCAGACACGGTGGAACATACAAACTGTTCAGAAACAACCACAAATTCCACACAGAGTCTTCTTCCTTTCAGGGAGTGCTAACAGTTCTGCCACTGTGCCACATTGGTGTTTCCTTTCCTGGAAGTGGGCCTGCTGGTGTCACCTACTCATCCCCATGCAGAGATTAATGACAGACTGTAGACTATTTCAGCCTCCAGGCAAAGGTCCATCTCCATGAATACAAGCGGGACTCACCAGAAAACTCACACACCAAGAATAAACGCATTTTGTACATTTTATAGTGGAACAGAATCAAACAAAGGCCCGTATTTCTGATCTATGCCATGATTTGTGTGTTAAACATGTGTGAACGAAACAAAAACACAACTCCAGATATGTTTCAATGAAGTAACAACATTCTAACACAAACATAGGACCATTATTTTAAAGATCTAAGCTTGTTAAATGTTCAACACTGTCTGTAATGTTCAGTATAGTTTAGACCAGGGGTGTCAATCTCATTTTGGTCCGGGGGCTGTATCCAACCTACTTCGATCCCAAAGGGGCCGGATCAGAAAACTCATGGCATATAAACCCCAAAAATAGCAATAAGTTCAAATATTTGTGCAGAGAAACGCAAATCTACTACAGAAGTCTTATTTAATTGATGAACGCTTTCTTTACAATATTATAATATTATGAACAACCTGAAATTTTAAGAAAAATGCAATTTCAACACAATGTTTTAACATTAACTTGTATGCAAATAGAAATAAGTCAATTTCTTTTGGAAAATCCTGCACTCGGCGTCCACTTTTCTCATATTTGACATTTTGTTGATGAGGGTGTCACGGTCAACAGTCAAAACGATCGTCCTTTAAAAGCGTTTGGAAAGAGACAAGTCTTCGTTTATGCTGCTCTGGTGGGAGGGGCCACGTACAGAGGCGCTGGAGACGCTGCTATGATAAGCGCCGCAGAAAATTGCCAATATTTTAATAGAAAATATAATTAAAATATTTTAGTAGAAAATCACCCGAGGGCCAGATTAAAGGTCTTGGAGGGCCGGATCCAGCCCCCGGGCCACATGTTTGACACCCCTGGTTTAGAATATGAAAAGCTGACACTGTTTCTAAACAGAACAGAGTGCCTTTCCCAGAGTGCACTGGTAGCCGTGTTTATGCGTGCGTAAGCGTCTGCTATGATGGCCGGGCGGCGGGGAGTCTTTTGTCCCCCCCGGCCCCCTGTGACTGAGCCTTCCCTCTCCCCAAGAGGAAGCGCGCTGACCTTTAGCTGGGTGGCGCTGGCTGGTGTGTGTACTTACATCAACGTAATTTGCATTAATGTAATCGGAGCCCTGTTCGCCCTCCGGAGCCTGCAGCCTGACGCGCGAGTGGTCGTCTGCAAAAGAAGAAGAAGAAGAAACCAGCGCTGGATTAGTTACGATAAAGTGAATATGACAGATTTTACTACATTGTTTTATTTAAAGATAGAAAAATACACTTCTATGGGGTATTAACTGCTTACACATGTATTTAGATCATCATGTTACCTTTAATTGTTTTGATTCCTGAGCTCCCCCCTGCCTTTGCTCCCTGGTCTAAGTCACTCCCCCTTCAGAGCGCTATCACAACACAAACTACTGCACATCGCATCAGGTTTGTCAAGTTGCTGTGCACAGTTTTGTATCCTGCTTTTGTATATTTATAAAGAACTGTCAGGCGGGAACGTGTGTGGACGTAGGAGGGTTCAAACAAGGCCAGGGAGAGATCGCTAGATTGCTCAAACATGCACAGATGACATATAAAACCTCTTCAGGCAATGTTGTGTTAGAAATGTTAGAAAATAGAAAGTAAATGTTGCATAAATACTAAATATCTTGAGTAATTTGTTCTAGTTTTTAAAGTTTGGTGAACTTTATAACTGAACTCTGATAAACGTACATAAGATAATCACTGTTACCTAGCAACCATAATGTAAACAAGGGCCAAAACATATCAATATTGCACAATAGTAATGATCAGACAAATATAAATAAATGACAAAAAAAAAAACTATTTTGTTAAAAGGTGCACATAACTTCTTCGGTGGAGGATCAGCTACTTGCTTTGTTATTTATTCTATGTTCCACAGTAGAGCATTAACATACACTACTGGTTAAAAGTTTTAGAATGCCACACTTTTTCTAGTTTCTTACTGTTTACTGTTGACCAAAATGTATTCTAAACTTTTGGTTCATGAAAGTGTCCACTTTTGGCATATATAACAGCTGAACACACTCGTGGCTCGTTCTTTTTACAACAGAAATCAAATATTCTTCAAAAAGTTCTTCCCAAGTCTGTTGCAGAAGTTCCCATAAATGTGTGGCACTTGTGGGTTTCTTGGCTTTCACTCTTCTGTCTCGATGGGGTTCAAGTCTGGAGACTGTGCTGGACACTCCATGTTTTCAAGCTTTACCGTCTTGTTCTTTTTTCCTGAGGTAGTTTTGGCTTGTGTTTTGTTATATTTTATCTTTTTTTTTTTTAAACCTCTGGCTGTTCAGTTCTTACTTCGCATCATTTCAAGCTCTTCATTGGACTTGCATGACTTGAAATTGCGATAAATAAATGGAAAAATTAAGGTGTTCTAAAACTTTTGACTGATAGAATTAGAGGCATTTTAGAGCTGAAAAAATGTGAATTTTTATATCCATAGATCTGACCATTAACTCCACTTTCTCCATTGTGATTACCAAGTTTATTTCCATACTGTGGACTAAACAATACAAAACTCTAACATCTGCCAGAAAAATTGCACAGTGCACCTTTAAATGTAGGTTTAAACCTTCAGAAAAACGCCTACTTTGTGTGTAAATTGTCACTGCATTTTGGATGGAATTTTCAGTTTTAATGACAGAGGTATTCCATTTGAAAACATCTGTATTTTTGTATTTTTCTTGTCAATTTTTATTCACACAAACTGCCACTGATACAAAACTACAATAAAGACTTACCACAGGAACTACCCCACGAAACCGAGTCATAATGAGAAAAACATGAGGAAAATCGCTTTAACAAGGATACGAGGAGGAAGAAGCTCGGACACATGAGAGATCCAGATGAGAGGAGATGGTGGGAGCAGATATGAAGGGGGCAGACGCACAGACGTGACAAGGGTAATGGACTGGACATCCTCAAGTGAGTAACTCAAATGTAAATATGCGAGGACGGCCTGTCGCGTTGTCTGCAAGAATTACACTTCAATGCAGATTCTATGGGGTCAAACAGTAAGATCTAAAAGGGCATTCAGATCAGATAGTCACTGCATTACTTTTGTGACCTTATTTCCTACGATTATTATTAGTTTTTAGTGTTTTAGAAGATGCAGATTCTCAAATAGCTCAATCATGCATCAAAGTTCAAGATGTAAAACTAACTGGGTTGTCAAAAATATTGAAACTCAGATACTCATCGCCTGAATGTACAGTCCCTGACAAAAGTCTTGTCGCTTATCCATTTTGTAGAAACAAAAGCTTATAACCTGACTTTAAATTAATCGATTGGTTTTAGAAATGTCTCATATGAAAGCTAAAACCCTCCCAAATTATGCTCAATATACCTAAATAAATTTGCTTCACTGAAGAAAGATTGATCATTTAATGAACACAGAAAGGTCAGATTTTGGCAAGACAAAAGTCTGTCGCCTACAGAAAATTGAACAAATAATTTACTTCAAATACAAAAATATGTTGCATAACGTCAGTGAATTAAGTAGTGGTGCTGTGAGAGCCATATTTAATATCTTGTATGACTTCCGTGAGCTTGAAGAACTGCATCCATGCAGTTCGACAATGATTCATACAATTTGTTGATGAAGTCATCAGGAATAGCAAAGAAAGCATCTTACATGCCTCCCAGAGTTCATCAAGATTCTTTGGTTTTGCCTTCATGCTTCCTCTTTCATTCTACCCCAGACATGCTCAATGATGTTCATGTCTGGTGACTGGGCTGGCCAGTCCTGGAGCACCTTGATCTTCTTGGCCTTGAGAAACTTTGATGTAGAGAAAGAATTATGCGGTGGAGCACCATCCTGCTGCAAAATTTGACCCCTTTTATGGTTGGGAATGTAAGAGGAGCTAATACTTCTTGATATTTTAGGTTATTGATATTTGCCTTCCACCCTGCAAATGTCTCGCACACCCCCATACTGGATGGAACCCCAGACCAGGATTTTTCCGCCACCAAACTTAACTGTTTTCTGGGTGAATCTTGGATCCATGCGGGTTCCAGTAGGTCTCCTGCAATATTTGCGGCGGCTGTGATGTAATTCAACTGAGGATTCATCTGAGAAATCCACCTTCTGCCACTTTTCCAGTGTCCATCCTTTTAACAGGCTGTGGGCCTTGGCAAATGCCACACAGTTTTTTAATTGCCTTTTGTTAGTGCTGGTTTCTGTGCACTGATTCAACCATGGAGGCCATTTCGAGACAGAATTCTACAAACTGTTGTGGTTGACACAGGGACTTGAGGTGACCAGGCCTGGTGGAGTCTGCTGCAGTGGAAAAGACGCTGGCCTCCCGAGCAGTTGTCTTGCGGGGTCTGCTGGACCTGGGCTTGTCAAAAACATCTCCAGTCATTTCAGATCTTTTTCTTATTCTTTGTACTTGATGCTGAGACACATTGAAGGTGTCACCACCTCAGCAGTGGATCTGGTCTTCAGCCTCTTGATAATTAACGCTTTGGTCTCAGGGTGGATCTTAGGCATGTTGTCAGAGGTCAAGTTGCAGTTGATGTGAAGGTCTGGTGTGCTGAGGTTCTTTTTATACACACCCACTAACTGATTGATCAGTAACTGATCACAGGTGAGGCTGTAATCTAGGATTGGGTGCATCATATGACAAGGCGACAAGACTTTTGTCTTTCCAAAATCTGACCTTTCTGTGTTCATTAAATGATCAATCTTTCTTCAGTGAAGCAAACTTATTTTAGTATATTGAACATAATTTGGGAGGGTTTTAGCTTTCATATGAGACATTTCTAAAACCAATCGATTAATTTAAAGTCAGGTTATAAGATTTTGTTTCTACAAAATGGATAAGCGACAAGACTTTTGTCAGGGACGGTAGTATCAAAACTAGATACTCATTTGAGCAGGTATTGATACTAAAAAAGTCACATTCACAGGACAGAATTTAACCTTTCCTGAAGCTTTAGAATGATTTTGAGCTGTATCAGAACAAGAATACAAGTGAATACACAGATATAAGGCCACATGGGATACCGTATTTTTTGGACTATAAGGCACACTTAAATTACTTTAATTTTCTCAAAAATCGACAATGTACCTTATGTATTAATTCCAGTTGTGCTTACTGACCTTGAACCGATTTTATATGGTACATGGAGCTCTGTCAAAATGTTTTAGTACGACTTTGGTAAACTACGAAGATGCACCGCTTCATGAATTGTCGGAGCATTACAGCTACCGTAGTCAGGAGCCTCGTGGAGTAAGTCCGATAGAAGCTGACAGCATCTGCGCACAAGGAGCGAGCTGTCTTTTTAACGCTTTTATGCAAATGAGCCATGTGGTTTAAAGTTCTGTTTCTGTAAAACGTAAACAAATGTGCTCAAAGCTGCATTAAACACATTATTACTCAATGTATATTTGAGTCCTCCTCATAGAAAATAAACAAATTTAAATGATCCACCCACATTCACATTCATAATCCACATTCACCAAGACAGGGAGGCGTCGCCGGCGAATTACGCCACGATTTGCCAATGGATCGTGGATGCCTGGGCTAAAGGATCAAGTCTCAAGTGTCGTCTGGTTGTTTTGCTTAATGCTCCTTATGTATGAAAATAGAGGACAGAATTCAACATTAATTATAGATATTGCATTTTATAATCCGAAAAATACGGTACTATGCTTTAATATTAAAAATGACTTGTCTAAATAAAGAGTCTTTATAATCATCATAGTGTTGGAATCAGTATTGAGTATCGAAATTGAGTTTGGAATTTTTGAATCGTGACAACACTACAAAAACAAGCGATTTCCCTGACGATCGCACATTAAACCCTGCAATTCTGTTAGTTAACAACATAACACCAAAGCGTGATGTTTCTGAAATAATAACGTGCTATGGTACCTTTAGGGTTTGTACTTGCAAACAAAACTTTCCACCGACAATTAAAGGAGATTCTTACCTGCTGCTTTGGTACAATATGTGAAAGGCCAAAAGAACGGGTGTCGATCAATGAATGGACCAAGTACGAGGCCTCCACAAAAGAGTCATTCATTTTGCAATAGGAAAATGGAGTGCAACCAAAATAAATAACAGGGTTCCCACTCTTTTTCACTGACAAAATTTCTAAACTTTTCCATGACATTTTTCATGACCTAAAGTGAATTTTCCATGACTTTACGACAAGTACATGTGCAGAAATGATCAGACTTTTAGGACTAAATATGAAAAGTTAACCCTTTCCACTCATTTATGGTTTGGTATTATAGTTTTTTTTAACATTCAAAATACTGTCAGTGCATTTATTGTCGTCTCTTTAAAAAAAAAAGCCACATACGCTTGGAAATAATCATCAATCAATAGCCTAATGAGAATTTAACAGAACGCTGGAGTTGTGTGAAAGAGATACTAAAATTCCATGACTTTTCCAAAACTTTCATTGAATTTACAATCTTTTCCAGGATTTCCATGACCGTGGGAACCCTGAAATAAACACATAAATAAATAAAATAATGAATAAAAAATAAAATTAAATAAAAATCTAATTAAACTTATGTATGTAAGGTAGGTAGCGCATCTCCTGCATAATTCCTTGAAAATAGAAAGTTAAAACCACAATTTGGAACGCTTTTCATCGATATAAATACATTTTATCTCATAATTTGGAAGATTATTGCCAAAGGAACAACATATCCACGGAAATACAATAAGTAAGAGGCTTTTATTTAGGTTTGTGGAGATGCAAGCCCACGTGTTTTGTTGTTTTTCAGTGCAAATTTTTAAAAACATGCTTTTATTTTAGTCTATTTTTAGCTAAAAAGTTCAATGCTGTGGCGTTAACTAGAAGATATAGGAGCTTATATTTTTCAAGCTGTTATTATTCGTCGTTATTGAGCGTGTTAACATTACGATGGGGCCAAAGCTCCGCGCTCTGAGTCAGATGTGGCGCTGCTGTTTCTCGTAACAGTGTCCAGAGGAAAGGTCAGAGCCGCCGCGCTGGGCTCACAGTAAAAGTCTGTTTGAGCAGGTTACGGTTTCACACACGGAGCATAAATCACACCAACAAGAACAGGACGCGAAAACTAAACGAGAGACACCGGCGAGTGATGGAGGGATGAAGGGAGGAGAGAGGTGATGGGAGAGGATGAGGAAAAGGACAGGGTTCAAGAGGAGGAGGAGTAGAGAGGAGGGGTGTTGAGAAGAGGAAGAAGAGGGGGAGGAGAGAGGACGGGAGGTGAGAAGGAGTAGGAGGAAGAGGGAGGGAAGAAGGGGAGGAAGAAGGAGGGAGGAGGAGGAGCGGGAAGAGGTTAAGGAAGAGGAAAGAGCTGACGGAGCTGAAGGAGGAGGAGGAGAAAGGTGTTGAAGGAGGAAGAGAAGAGAGGTGATGGTAGGAGAGAAGGAGAGAAATGATAGAGGGAGAGAAGTGATAGAGGAAGAAGAGGAGAGAAGTGATAGAGGAAGAAGAGAAGAGAAGTGATGGAGGAAGAGGAGGAGAGAAGTGATGGAGGAAGAGGAGGAGAGACATGATGGAGGGAGAGAAGGAGGAGGAGAGCGGTAATGGAGGAGGAAGACGAGGAGGAAGAGAAGATAGGTGATGGAGGAAGAGGAGGAGAGAAGTGATGGATGAAGAGGAGGAGAGAAGTGATGGAGGAAGAAGAGGAGAGAAGTGATAGAGAAAGAGGAGAGAGAAGTAGGGAGGGAGAAAAGGAAGAGAAGAGAGGTGATGGAGGGGGAAGAGGAGGAGGAGGAGAAGGAGAGGGGTGACGGACGGATGTTGAAGGAGGAAGAAGTGAGAGGTGACGGAGGAGGAAGAGAAGGAGGAAGAGAAGAGAGGTGATGGACGGATGCTGAAGGAGGAAGAGGACAGAGGTGATGGAGGAGGAGGAGAGGGGTGATGGAGGGAGAGCAGGAGGAAAAATGTGACTGAAGAAGAGGAGAGAAATGATGGAGGGAGAAAAGGAGGAGAGATGTGATGGAGGAAGTGGGAGGAAAAGGAGGAAGAGGAGACGGGTGACGGAGGGAGAGGAGGAGGAGAGATGGAGGAAGAAGAAGAGAGAAGTGATGGAGGAAGAGAAGGAAGAGAGATGTGATGGAGGGAGAGAAAGAAGAGGAGAGCGGTCATGGAGAGAGAAGAGGAGGAGGAAGAGAAGATAAGTGATGAGTGAAGAGGAGAGAAAGTGATGAGGAAGAGGAGGAGAGAGTGATGGAAGGAGGAAATGAGAGGTGATGGAGGAGGAAGAGGAGGAGAGAGGTGATGGAGGGATGTTGAAGGAGGGAGAAGAGAGAGGTGACGAAGGGAGAGGTGGAAAGAAGTGACAGAGGGAGAGAAGGAAGAGGAGAGGGGTGATGAAGGGAGGAGAGACCAGGAGGAAGAGGAGAGACATGGTGGAGAGGACGAGGAAGAGGAAGAGGGCAGGCTTCAGGAGGAGAAGGGGGTTGGAGGAGGAGAGGAAGAGTGATGGAGGAGGAGGAGGGAGGGAGGGAGAAGGTAGAGAAGGAAGGTGGAGGAGCGGAGGAGAAGGGGGTTGCAGGAGAAGTGGGAAAGGAGAAGAGGAAGAGGAAGGGATGGAAGAAGAGGGACGAGGAGGGAGAAGGACGAGGAGAGGTGATGGAGGGAGAAGAGGAGGAAAGGAGTGATGAGGGAGAGGAGGAGAGAGGAAAGGAGAGGTGAAGGAAGGGTGTTGAAGGAGGAAGAAGAGAAGTGATGGAGGGAGGGAGGGGTGAGGAGAAACAGCAGCACTGGAGGAAGAAGAGGAAGAGGGGGAGAAAAGTGATGAAGGGAGAGCAGAAGAAGGAGGACGAGGAGGAGGAGGAGGAGGAGGAGGAAGAGCAGAGGTGTACACACATGCGATGATGTTGCCGTAGCGGTTCTTCATGCGGTTCTCGTCCTTCTTGGCCGAGTCCCACGCAGCAGACTGTCCTTCAAAAAAACTCTGCAAGAAAAAAAGAAAAAAGAGAAAAGAGAAGAGATATAAGAACACGTCTAAAACACAAATACTACTGACATCGTATGCAGCGGGTAAAAAGGGAACACACGATACAAAGTGTTTTACAAGCAAAACTATAAAAGTGAGATGAAATAAAACAGATTCACAGTTTGACTTTTTCATAACCCGACACCGAAGATTTTAAAGTCACCGCTGTCCTGTAACTGAAGCTATTAAACCTGCACGAGACTCAGAACAGAGGAACACAGACACAGACGCAGCATTATGAGACAAGAAGGGAAAGGAGAGGAAGAGGAAGGAGGAAGGGGAAGAGGAGAGAGAAAAAGTGAAGGAAAGAGGAGAGGGGGGACAGATGATGAAGAGAGAGGAGGAATGGAGACAGGAGGGGAGGTGAGTGGAGGAAAGACGACAAAAGGGACAGAAGATGAGGAGAGAAGAGGAAAGAGGAGAGGAGGGAGAGGAGAGAGGAGGAAAGGAGAGAGGAGGAAAGAGAAGGAGAGGGGAGGAAAGGAGAGGAAGAAAGAGGAGAGAAGGGACAGGAGATAAGGAGAGAGGAGGAAAGGAAACAAGAGGACAGAGGAGAGGAGGGATGGAAGATGAGACGAGAGGAGGAAAGAGGAGAGGAGGAAGAGAGAAGGAGAGAGAGGAAGAAGAGAGGAGAGGAGGAGGAAGAGGAGGAAGGAAGGAGAGAGAGAGAGGAGGAGCAGAAGATGAAGGAGAAAGAGGAGAAGGAGACAGGAAGAAAGAGGAGAGAAGGGATGGGAGAGGAGGAGAGAGGAGGAAAGAGGAAAGGAGATGAGAAGAGAGGAAGAGGAGGTACAGAAGAGACGGAGAGAGGAGGAAAGAGGGGAGGAGAGACAGAAAATGAAGAAAGAGGAGGAAAGGAGACATGAGTAAAGAGGAGAGGAGGAGCAGGACAGGAGGAGAGAGGAGGAAAGGAGAGAGGAAGAAAGAGGAGAAGAGGGACAGAAGATGAAGAGAGAGGAGGAAAGAAAAGGAGAGAGGAGGAAAAGAGAGGAGGAAAGAGGAGAGAAGGGGCAGAAGATGAGGAGAGAGGAGGACAGAGGAGGAAAGGGGCAGAAGATAGGGAGAGGAGGAAAGAGAAGGAGAGAGGAGAAAAGGCAAGGAGGATAGAGGAGAGGAGGGACAGAAGATGAAGAAAGAGGAGGAAAGGAGAGAGGAGGAAAGAGGAGAGGAAGAAAGAAGAGAGAAGAAATAAGGAGAGAGAGGAGGAGAGAGAAGAGAAGGGACGGGAGAGGAGGACTGGAGGAAAGAGGAGAGGAGGGACAGGAGATGAGGAGAGAGGAGGAAAGAGACGGAGGAGAGATGAGGACAGGAGAGAGGAAGAGAGAGGAAAGGAGACATGAGGAAAGAGGAGAGGAGGAGCAGGACAGGAGGATAGAGGAGGAAAGGAGAGAGGAAGAAAGAGGAGAAGAGGGACAGAAGATGAGGAGAGAGGAGGAAAGAAGAGAGGAGGAAAGGAGAAGAAGAAAGAGGAGAGAAGGGACAGGAGATAAGGAGAGAGGAGGAAAGGAGAGAGGAGGGAAGGAGAGGAAGAAAGAGGAGAGAAGGGATAGGAGATAAGGAGAGAGGAGGAAAGAGGAGGGACAAGAGATGAGGAGAGGAGAAAAGGAGTGAGGAAGGAAAGAGGAGGAGAAGGGATAGGAGATAAGGAGAGAGGAGGAAAGGAGAGAGGAGGAAAGCAGAGAGGAGGAAAGGAGAGGAAGAAAGAGGAGAGAAGGGACAGGAGATAAGGGAAGAGGAGAAAAGAGGAGAGGAAGGACAGAAGATGAAGAGAGAGGAGGAAAAGAGTGGAGGAAAGAGGAGAGGAAGGACAGAAGATGAAGAGAGAGGAGGAAAAGAGTGGAGGAAAGAGGAGAGGAAGGAAGAGGATGAGGGGAGAGAGGAGGAAGAGGAAAGGAGGAGGAAGAGAGGGGACTAGAGATGAGGAGAGGAGAAAAGGAGAGAGGAGGAAAAGAGAAGCGGAGGTGCAGGAGAGGAGGAGAGAGGAGGAAAGATGAGAAAAGGGACAGAAGATGAGGAGAGAGGAAGAAAGCGGAGAGGAGGAGTGGATGGAATATTTTAAAAAGTGTCTCCAAACGTCTCCAACACTCTGACTCACTGGGAAACGAGGCCCTATGTCTAAAATTCTCTTTAAATTTCCCCTTTTTGTACGATTTGTCTGTCCTCAATTACATGTGAACACTCAGTAAAGACTTTTGAGCTGCATTTGGATCACACTTTGTCATTTTAAAGGTGTAACAAGCTGCGCAAAATGTCAATCTACGGCTTCACAAATGCTTGGACTTTACAAAAACAATACGTGAAGCTGATGAGTAGAGCCTCTTCAAGCCCGAGCTCGTCATTACTCACTGAAAACAGACTAGGAGTAGATTTTGAGACGCGCCGCTCTGAACCGAGGCTCCGAACAGTCTTGGGCCCAAACCCACAATTGCTGACGTATGTTTTAAAAGTACCGTAATCGATTTAAAGTGAGAGTACGCAGGAAAGGCCCGATACTGCGTGATCGGAGGCGGCGTAGACAGCTTGTGGTCAGTGTTCAATCACCGTCGATGCTTTCTGTCTCCCGGCTCCGAGAAGCGAGCGGAGCGTCAGTCTGCGAAATAAAAGGCTCTTTCGACGGAGCGCGAGGACGTACGCCTGCGCTGCCGGTGATTCCGCTGAAGAACAGCTTTAATATGCCAAAAATATGGAGGACGGATGGGGAAGACGGAGGGACGAGGGAGACGGATGGGAGCTAAGGACTCTGCGTCGCCCGGAAAGAGGCCCTGAAGGAGGAAGGAGAAGAAGAAGAGGACGAGAGGAAGAGAAAAGGAGGAGGAGCATGTAGAGGAAGAAGAGAAAGGAAAGGAAGGCGTGATGGAGGGATGAGGGAGATGTATGGTAGCTAAGACCTTTTCTGATGGCTTGTGTTGCTCGTAAAGATGCCGCGAAGGAGGAGGAGGAAGGAGAGGAAGAGGTGGAAGGAGAGGAAGATGATGGAGGGATGAGGGAGATGTACGGTAAGGCTTGTGTTGCCCGTAAAAAGATGCCCTGAAGAAGAGGAGAAGAAAGAAGAAAGTGTGAGAGGAGGGAGAAGGTGAAACAAATAATAAGAGAAGAAAAGGAAAGAGGAGGAAGAAGAAAAGAAAGAAGGAATCTGAAAGGAGGAGGAAAGAGGGGGGGAGAGGAAATAGGGGAGAAGAGGTGAAGGAAGAAGAGGAGGATGAGGAAGAGAAGAGGGGGGGGAGAGGAGGAGGGAGGAGATAAAGAGGAGGAGAAGGAAGGACAAGAGGAAGAGCTGAGGAGGGCTGATGCCACTCGCTGGGATGAAGATGATGAAGGGATGAGGAATACACCATTCCTCATCCCTTCATCATCTTCAGGTCACCCTTCGTGTCACCCTGAAAGGAAGAGGAGGAATAGGGAGAAGAGGAGGAGGAAGAGAATGAAAGAGGGGAGGAAAAGCAGGAGGGAAATGAAGAGGAGGAAGAAAGATAGGAAGAGGAAGGAGAGGAGGACAAAGTAGAAAGAGGATGGAAAAGAAGAGAGGGTGACGGAGGGATGAGGAATGGTAGCTAAGGCCTTCTTCTCTGATGGCTCGTGTCGATGGACCACCACTCGCCCCGAAATGGGAGGAGGAAGAAGACGAGGAGGAGAAAGAAGCGAGGGAGGATGAGGAGAAAGAGGAGGAAGAGCAGGAGGGGTGAGGGAGGGGTGGTAGCTCGTGTCAGTGTGCCAGTCGCCCTGAAGGATCCCAGTCTCATCTCACCCACTTCAACATGAATCAGACTCTCACACAAACACCACCCCCACTGCTCCCGTCTCTGTCACTACACATCTACTAATACGGAAAGTACTACAAAAATGAAATACTAAATAAGAAAATTAAAACGCAAAATAATGCAGTGAGTGAAGAACTAAGGCTACGTTCAGACTGCAGCCTGAAGTGACCCAAATCTGATTTTTTCGCCCCCATGTGACCTGTATCTGATCTTTTAATGACAGTGAACAACACAGATCTAGTTTTTTTTCAAATGTGACCCAGGACACTTGGATATGTGCTCCTAAAACCGATACATATCCGATCTTTTGACATGCGACTTCAGTCTGAACGGTCAGGTCACATTCACCCCACCTACACGTCAGGCTCAGAGTCTAGTCAATAACCGAGGTTAGCGAGTTTATTAATATATGGTTGGATCGCTGTATTCAGGCCAAATTGGAGGAGTCTTATCGGAACAGGGCGGTTTTTGAAATGATTGCCAAAGAAATGACTGAGCTCGGCTGCAGTCGGTCCTGGCTCCAATGTCAACAAAAAATAAAGAGCCTGTGAGCCAAATACAAGGAGGCTAAAGACTCAAACAAATGAAGCGGCTGTGGACGTGTAACCTGTCCATTTTACGAAGAACTGGACTGTATTTTGGGAGGCAAGCCCAGTGTTTAGGCGACTTATGTAAAAACTGAGCACGCTCGCTGTGTGTGACGTCGTCGTGTCCTCCAATGTGCATGCGGGACACTTTTGGGGTTTTTGAATTTCACACTGGAGATCACATACAAGTTGCATTTAACTGGAAATGTGAACGACCTTGCAAAAAACTTGGATTTCACAAAAAAATCCAAATTGCAGTCTGAACGTAGCCAATGTGAGTGACTATTAACATTATTGTTTTATTAAATCAGCATTATTAAAGATCCTATATTAAACAAAATTGACTCTTGTGAGCTTTAAGCCACTTTATAATGTCGTTACCTCCTCAAAAACAGACCTGGAGTTTTGTTTTGTTTCATTCACACATGTTTGAGTAACCTTTTATTTTTAGTTTTTATACATATCCAAATCTCAAAATGCTCTCTTCCACCTTGTGATGTCATGAAGCTTTACTAATAGTTTACCATTTACAGTTTGTTTAGTAGAGATTGGCAATTACAGGTCTGAAATAATCCAAATTATTCTAGTGAAAGTGTATGGAGTTTAAAAACAC